ATTTGAGTGATCTGTTGCTTATTGACTTACATAAGTTATGTACCTATAATACTAATATTATCTCAGTTATGCACTATGCAAGAAATTTTGATTTGATTTATAGTTAGAGATGTCGTTTGCTAAAACTTAAACACCAATATCACAAGCATTATATGTTTGTTTGATCCTTTATTAGACAATAATGTATTATTTATTATTTTTTATATTAAAATATTTAGAATTTATATTATTTTTTTTAACTATTTGAGTATATTTATAACTTTTTAAATATAAATTATAGATTTATATATAATCATCGGGTCATGCAGTTCTATCAGTGACCCACTGGTTGAATTAGTGAACTAGTAATCCGGTACCTCGATCGGGTCAATGACCGGGCCAATTTTAATAACATCGGTCACATGACAACATCTTGTCATGTGACATAATTTTTATTTTATTTCCATCCCCTTATTTTATGTAACTATTAAAAAATATTAATTAGTATCATAAATAATATTTAATATTTAATAATTAATAATCTAGTTAATGTATCTATTATTATTTTATAAATTAATATTAAACTTTTATAGTTAAATAAATAATTCTTATTTATTTGACACAGTTTTTTTGGATCTGCAAATTTAAAAATATTAAATTTATTGTTAATATAAAAAATTTATTATTAAATTTTTTATCCAAAATAATAAATATTTAATAAAGTTAGAGGACTTCAAGTGACCAATTTTTTATTTCTCTTGGAACATATGCTTCTTATGATTTTTTCACACTTCGTATCTTATGAAAAATAAGATAATAGGAGGGTATATTGTTTCATCACCTCTAAAAAGAATCAGAATAATAGCACAAGAATTATAATGATTCATGAATAACTATAACAATAAAAAAAATTATGGATTATTCATGATATCAGTCATATAACTTAAATGATATCAAATATGTAAATTCTTTTAGTGAAAGAAAAAGAGGAATCAATTACAAACTGTTATTATTAACAATAAACTTAATATGTATGAATTTTTAGGAATTTCACATTATTGCAGCAGACAAATGAGATTAATTTACGGTGTTAATTATTATTTTACTTAATAAATTTATTGCCAAATTTTTAAATCATAAAAGCCATGTTATTTATGATCTTAATTATTAGATATTAATTATTTTAATAATGCTAATTAATATGTACATTAAGTGAGGGAATGGGTGAGAAAGGGAGTAAGATTTGGGACGGACTACCATGATACTATCACCCAGCTATCCTCCCAAGTCCCAACAACACCATTGAAAATAATTAGTAGAAAGTAGAGGTGTTAACGGGCCGAGCCGAGCCGAGCTTTGATCTTAACGGGCCAAGCCTGTATTTAAACGTGTCAGACTGGCCTTAGCCTGTTACCTGTTACGAATATAATATTGGCCTGTGGCCTGGTTTATTTACAAAAATTAAAAGCCTGTGTGAAGCCTGTCTTAGCCTGTTAAAAAATAAAAATAAGAAAACAAAATTCCACAAAAAAACAATTTCCAGATAGAAACCTTAGTTTCCAATTTGCAGCAATAATTTACAAAGTCTACAATAAATAAATAAAAATTAAAGTGAGAGAAGGTAGATAACAGGTTATATTATCTTTGCCCATTATAAAAAAATAGTGCCAACAAAAAGAAAAAAGAAAAAGAAAAAAGAAATTGACACAAATGAGCAGTGCACAGTGGAACGAATGAGTTTTTGGGGTGAAATGGATTGAGGAGAAAGAGAGGACTATTACAAGTAGTATAAAAAATATAAAATAAAAATATAAAATAATATACTAGGCCAGCCTTAGAGGCTTTAAGGCCGAGCTTTTGAATTGGAGCCTAAGGCCTTTTTATTAAACGAGCTTTTATACAAGTTCAAACCTGATGTAAACAACAAATTTTAGACATTTAAGCTCAAGCTTTCACGAGCCGAGCCAAAGACCCCTGAAAGGCCTTTGGTCTGTTTAGCACCCCTACTAGAAAGTCTAGAATAGTGAAAAAGCCTTGATTTTATTAGAAAATAAATCTTCTCGTGTATCTTTTAAACATGTATGTGAAAATTCTCATTTATTCATGCATTGCTATCATAGGCGGACCTCCACTTGTGTAAGTGCATACATAAATCTTTGAAAAAAAAAGAAAAAGAAAAAAAATAGTAAAGTATCTTTTGGATTCTCAATAAAATTTATGAGGCCCAATTTAATCCCTCAGAAGAAAAAAAGAAAGTTAACTTGTAATCCTTCTGAATCCCAAAATAGCCTCAGTTTGTCAAAATCGTGATCCATCTGAAATTCAAAGAAGATCCACGTTGGTCCCTCAAAAGAACTAATATGGGTCTATTTTGAATTTTACATGAATCATGAGTCGACTTTTTTTGTAGGAAATTAAATTGGGCCTGTAATATTTGTTGAATACCCAAAAATTTCAAAGAGACCATTTATTTATATTCTTTTGTTTTTAAATACATTTAAAAATAATTTAAATTTTTTTATGGGGGCTAATTGATGTATATATATAGGGGAAGAATTCGTTTACAATTTTTTTTTACAAATTACATTACGTATGACCGATCATACACTCTTGATTGAAGTATGACCGGTCATACTTAGTGTAGTTTGTAAGAGGTTGTAAACAAAAAGTTTGTAAATATAATCTTTTTCATATATATATATATATATATATATATTTATATATATTTATATTTATTTATATTTATATGTTTTTATCAATGGCTACAATTTGAACTACAAAAATTATTAAATAAAGATGAGAAAATAATTATTTTAATTACAGACAATTAACCTATCAATGAATATTTAAGATTTTTCATAATATATTGTTGGATCAAGCGCTTGCCACTAAGCTAAAAGTTATAATTATCAGTTAGGATGCAACTCTTTCTACTTACTGGTACCCGCTCAAGCATTATGGTTTAAGCTGATTCCAACTCACATAGGTCTTGCCAAGGCAATTGCCCCAAGACATGCCTTCCACAAAGTGTTACATGACCTTTGCTCTAATACCAAGTGTTGGATTAAGTCCTTATCGTTAGGCCAAAAGCTATAACTATATGAATGCAACTCTTTCTAATTACCCATATTAGCTCAAACATCATGATCTGATTAGAAGAATTTATCCAAAAAAAAAAAAAAAAATCCAATAATTTCTTTTTTTTTTTTGGAGTTACCCAACTATAATTATCTCTTTGAGATGAGTTGGCTCCTTCCGGTATCCCCATGAGCTTCGACTCTTTGAGCCGGCTATGGGACTAATCCGGAGTACGAGGGAACAGTGATGGCTAAAGGTTCAACCCCTCCCCAAGAATGCATTCAGCGGAAATCGAACACATATCCAATCCCACTAACTCAGCGCCAAGTTACCAACTGAGCTGCACCCATTGGGTAAAATCCAATAATTTCTAAACGCCAACAATTATACCAATGAATTTTTAAAAACAAAACTGAAACAACAAAAAACACAAAACACTAACGGTGGCCATAGGAACCTCTACTCTTCCCCTTCATTCCACCCTAGGGCCCTAATAAAGCTTCTACTTGCGATTAATGGAAACCTGCAACTCTAGGGAACAAAGTTTGACAATTCCTTATTTGCATGTAATTTTGTTCTCTTATTCGTCTAAACAATCATGATTATCATTAATGAGTTGCAACGAAAATAAACAATTAGTTACTTTCCTTTCCCACTTTTATGGAATATTTTCTTCAGTTGAATAGTAAGGCATTTTGAGTTAATTTATGCTGGACTAATTCCTTTGTTACTTTGAATAATCTTAAGGATACATGTTTGCGTTAGTTTAATTTAAAATTTTGTTATTATTATTTTAAAATTTACTCGATAAAATTTTGATTAAAAATATTTTAAATATAAAATAAGCTAATCAAAACATATATTAAATTATTTTATTTATACCAAATTCAACAAATTAACATTTCATAATATTTAGCCATCACTGTTACCCCGCACTCCGGATTAGTCCCATAGCCGACTCAAAGAGTCGAAGCTTGTGGGGATACCGGAGGGAGCCAACTCGTCTCAAAGAGATAATTAGGGTTGGATAACTCAAAAAAAAAAAAAGTAACATTTCATAATAATAAATAATATTTTTTCTATGTCCAAGAGCTATAATGTAATGATCTTGGAATCAAATCTCGCCTCATTCATTTCGTCTAGTACTTGCATCAAATTGAAACAAAGAGCATAACTTTTCGTCAATTATTTATTATATCCACTATTTATGATTAATTTGTTACGGGAAAAAAGGTCTAAGAAGAAAGGAATTCGTACCAGAGAATACAATTAAGGTATCAAATCAAGAGATTAGCATGAGAGAAAAGCAAGTGAAATTAGAGAGGAAGTTAGGGAGTAATTCAAGAGAAAATGAGAAACTGTTTGGGAAAAAGCACAAATTCGTTAACATAATAGTGCCCATATATATGATTACAACTTTGAAGGGGAATTAAATTAGTATTAAACAATCATAAATTGAGAGATAAATACCAATAATTTTCAAAATTTGAATTTGAATTTTCGTTTCAAAATACAAATTGAAGTCATCCATCAATATTTTGTAACATAATTAACATTTATTGGACTGGGTTAGTATATATATGGCACATCCAATCATCCATGTAATTAATCTCGCTATTTACTCCGGTGATTGCATAACAAAAAAAGAGGTGGGTAACGCGGTTGTTGGTTATTATAGACAATAAAGGATAAAAGTTTCTAAAGTTACTTTTTCTTCACAAATCGAAGTGTTCCTCACTCATGATAATTTTTCTCTTCCCAATCTCTTCCCTATATTCACGCCGCTCTCACTTCCAATTCCACAATTTCTTCTCTATTTCCAAAAGCAAAATCATCACAGAATCCACAACACCATTTCTAGTTTGCAACTAAACTAAACCATTTCTCTTCTTCTTTCTCTCTGCTTTGGCCACAACACACCCAAGAGCAACAACAACAAAAACATGACTGAGTTATCTTTCTCAAACACTAAGAATGAGTTCTCTAGTAATCTATTCTCTATCTTCTTCAAATTTTGTTTCTCCATTTTTTCTCACCCTCTATACTTTTCCTACTTCATCTTCTTCTCCCCTTACCTCCTCAAGCTCTTCTCTTTTCTCTCCCCTTTGTTCATTACCACAACCCTTCTCCTTGTTGCTCTTCTTACTTTCACTCCCAACCTTGTTCATGAAAACGGTGGTTCTGAGTTTTCTGAGTCCAAATGGGGGTTTCCCCTTTCTTTTTTACAAACTTTTCTCACATGGCTTCTTTCTAAACCTGATGACAAAGATGAGGAAATTGGGTGTCTTGAAGAGCTTGAAGCATATCTTGTTATGTTCCAGGAAGTTTTTGAGCCAAAGCCAGTGGAAGATTGTTCAGAAGGCTTAAAAGCACTAGATGGTGAGTGTTCAGGTGAAGAAAGAGAAGATTTTTATCCAATTGAAGAGTCAAATGTCAACTCAGATGAAAACCCATTTGAGGAGGTTGACAAAGTTGAAGCCATTGTGCCTATTGCAGAAGTTAAGAGCCTAGAAAGCTTGTTCCAAGAAAATGCTGTGTTAGAAGATATGTCATGTCAAAGGGAAGAAAAAGAAGTCAAGCCACTTGATGCTGAATCCAATAAAGTTGAAGAAAGTAAAGAAAAATGGCCCTTGAGAAATGGATCCAAAGCCTTGAGTAATGGAGACATGTATACTAAGTGGAACAGTGATGGAGAATATGCTGCAGCGTTGAATGTTAAATCCCAAAGACTATGTTCTGATCTTGGGAGTCCAGAAAGTAACTGGGAGTACAGTGGAAAAGTTATGGGGAATAATCAAGCACTTTGTTCTAATCTTGGTAGTTTTGGTTCAATGAGAGTTGAAAAAGAGTGGAGGAGGACATTGGCTTGCAAGCTTTTTGAGGAAAGGCACAATGCAGATGGAAGTGCTGGAATGGATATGCTTTGGGAAACATATGAGACAGAGTCCAACAACAAGGTTCAGAAGAAAAGCAACACCAAGAAAGGGAAGAAAGGTGAGGTTCAGTACAATGAGGATGAAGAAGAGGAAGAAGAGGACATGGAGAGTAAATTGTGCTGCTTACAAGCTTTGAAATTCTCAGCTGGGAAGATGAATTTAGGAATGGGAAGGCCTAACCTTCTCAAATTCTCCAAGGCCCTGAAAGGCATTGGATGGTTGCATCATGTAGGCAAGCATGGCAGAAAGAGTAACCACTGAATTAGATTTTGCTTTTTTGTAACTTCCAATTGTGCATTTCTTTGATGATGAGAAGTAAATATTTTGCATGTCAATAATATAATGAATCTTCTTTTCGAATTTTATTTAATTAATGAATCTTCTTTTACGGGGAGTCAAGAGCAGTGGTAAAAGCTCTGTGACTCACGGTTTCAAATCTGAAAATTAGTCATTTTACAAATATATAAAGATAAGATTACGTATAAGAATTACGCTTATCCCTACCTTATTCAAGATTTGAGGGGAGTGATATTTTTTAACGAAACTTCTTTTATATGTGAAGACTCTGTTCCAAGCAACCAGATGAATGTTATTCTGCTGTATCATTAAGAGATGTGCTTTTGCATTTGCACTGTTAAAAGAAAGATCTCATTACAATGTGCATGCTTTTGCTAATAATGTTTGAGGACCCTGCATGTATACTATCTTCCACATGCTATGCTCATGTGTGAGAGTAATGGTTAGTGGCTGCATCCAACATTATGTTGATTTGAAAAGAAAAAAAAAGAAGTTGGAGTTAATCCAACCTTAATTACTTCTTTGAGGTGAGTTTGACTCTGCGAGCCGGTTACGAGACTAATCCGGTATGCAGGACGGGTCAGAGATGAAAATATTTAAACTCCTCTCAAAGGTAGCATGTGAGGATCCAATCAAGATTTTTTCTTTTGCACTTACTCAACTCCATTATTACCGACTAAGCTACCACCATTTTGGTGTTGATTTGAAAAACTTTAATCAAACATGTTCTTTTGGTCTATTAGTTCACGCATTCAATGGAAGAAAACGGTTAAGATGTCTTTTCATTCTATGGAAAATTTGAAATGATGTGAATTATGGGGTAGGATAAGAAGAAAGGAGCATGAACTAGTTGTTATATTCTCCCTCTTTCACTTTGACATGGGTCTCAATCATGAAGTAGGTTGGTGAAACTGATAAACATCTTGGTTTTAGCCAACATGAGAGCAGAGTAAAATGCATAAACAATTAGAATTTTATTTTTTTATTTATTTTTTTGTACATAGAATACTTCTTTTTTACGTTATTATTTTGGAGAAATCAATGTCAAGAAATAATACAATTTTCTTGAACCAGGTGAAGAATTATCCGAATGGAGTAGTTGAGTATAACCTCGATCCTAGTATCTTTTTTTCATGTTACGAAATGTTTTGAATTGAAATTTGATGTATTTGAAGATCCAATTTCTAAGTTTAAACTCACCAACAAATACCAAATAGAATGGACATCAGCTATATAACTTAAACTGGACTCTGTTTAAATTGCCTACAACAAAAGAATGGAACACAAAATGAAAACCCAACTGGACTTAACTCAAGTTAAAACACAGCAGCAATTGACAAATACCTGACAATGCACATTTTTCCTCTTCATTTGAGCGAATATTTTTTTATTGACCAGAGTTAGTTTCGGGAAAAAAACAATGGAAAATGTTCATTTTAACAAACAAAAAAAACAAATAATTCAAAGTTTGGGAGGAGGAGAGTCTACTCTCTTTTTTTTTAAAACAAGAGGAGAGTCTACTCTTTTAAGTAAGTATGCAACAAATCTTCAGTGATAATTTACAATGATATTTATAAGTTGTCTGTATAAAAGGGTGCCTGGCAATAGGAATCAAACTAAATCCTCATCAATGAATTTCTTCATTAAAAATTTAAAGATTACACATAGCTTAACTAAGAAAGAATTTCAGAATTCATGAGGAGGGGGTGAAGAGGCGCAACTCGAATATCTAAAAAAAAATTCATAATTGAATCTAAGCCCCAGTTAACGTAAGCTAAAAGTTCGAGCCGCTATATTAAACCGCATTGACTGCTTTATTTTTTCAAGCTAAACCAATCCTTCGCGTCTAACATTAAAGATCAAGATAAAAATCGTTTTTCTTTTGAACGGAAAATAACAATATTGTGAATAATACTACCGTTGGGATCTATAAGTTCACTATGTTCTTTTTAGGGATGAAGTCACTGTATAGAGACCAAGCTAAGAGGCACTGTTCCAAGTATGAAGTAAGCAGTCAACAATGGGGTTAGGTGTGTGTATGTGTGACTCAATGTAAATAGGCAGAATAACGATACATAAGGGGAATGTCATGTGAATCTTGTGTGGGTTGGCAAGGAGGGGTCAACCCTCCTTGGGATCTGCTAAGGGTGGCAGACGCTGCTGGGCGTGGTAGGCGCTGCTATGATAGCAGCGATGCGCCCCCTGTGTCTGACGGTGTCAGCATGTGACAAAAGGCAGTTTCCTCTTATAGTACTTGGGGCGGTCAGCTTTGTGGGTTGGAGATCGGACATTTTGGTGTTTCTCCTAGGGAGTGTTGTCGCGTTGGGGGTTGGGGGGCTGAGAGTTGGTAAGGGTGACGTGGATAGAGGGATTGAGATTGAGCTTGGACCTTTGAGCCGCTGTGTTGTTGGGCCATCCGGAACAAATACTGACGTTAGGATAAGCATCTACACCAGTACGCTAGAGAAGGATTTATCATAAATTACGAACATTCATGAATAATCTATATTATAAAGTATCAATCTACGTTAGTTTTAGATCTTACAGATACTCCTAAGATATACTTAATGAGACATGGGATAACCTTCCTAAAAACTCAAATATCTCACCTAAAAGCTTAAGCTAGTGAGTGTATCTTCAATGATTTTATTTTATATTATATTTCTTTAATACACTCTTTCACACGTAAGAGCCCTCTAAACTTGAAACGTGAATATTGCACATATCTATTTTTTTGTTTTATCTTATGCTGACTAAATACTGCTAGAAAATGGGACAATGAGAACCTCATGATCACAAAGGCTCAAATATAAAGATAAAACAATTATCTCACCTAAAAGCTTAAGCTTGCACGTGATGCACCTTCGAAGATTTTATATTATATCATATTTCTCTAATACATTCTTTCACACAAAAACTCTTTGGACTTGAGACGTGAATATTGCAAATGCTCATTTTTTTGTTCTACCTTGTGCTAGCTTAATTCCACTAAAAAGTGGAGACAGTAAGAATCGAACTCTTAATCCGTGGCCACAAATGCTTTAATATCATGATAAAACAATCATCTCACCTAAAAGTTTAGGTTTGTAAGTAATGGGCTTTAAATAATTTTATATTATATTATATCCCTCTAACAAATTCAAACAACGGTCGAGGGTTTTATTACATCCAGTATTCGCTTCCAAATCCAGATGAGAGTCGCAAACATCTATATTCAGCTATTGGGATGGCATCAAATGATTGTATAGTCGAACGTATATTGTGACAGGACATGGGTTTGTTGGTCTCGTTACTACATAGATATACTATAGTTTCTCTGTGTGTGTCTTGTCTAATTCTAAATATTGCGCAATACTAACTCTATCATGTTGTCTCCATGCAGTTTGTGGAAGAAAAAACAGATTTAAGTTTCTGCCAAGATACTATTTGAAATGGTTTTGCGAACCAAATTTTACAAAATTAGGAGTAAAATCAAAGTTAGTCTTAAATATATCCAAGAGGTAAAGATTATTTAAGTTCCTTGAGATGTCACATTACATAGATAAATTGGGCTTAACTAGTGGTTTATTTTTTTGATAAAGACCATTGGACTCAAATTTGGCCCCAATCTCCAAGCTCCAATCCTGCAAAGATCATACAGTTTTTAGTGAAGAAAATAATATAATTAAGTGAACGAGTTAATTGACTAATGAAAATAAGGTCAAAAGGAGAATTAAGGATATAAAACACATTATCAATAGAAAGAGAAAGAAAAATTAGAACTGTGCCATCTTACAGGATTGAACCAACAAACTATTAGCTATGATAATAGTGGGCAGGGAACTAGAAGTAAAGAGAGAAGTAAATGTCGATTTATTACCAAAAATATGATTGAATGCACTAGAGTGGAGAACCCAAGAATCAAGAGATTGTGATTGAGTCACACTAGTAAAGGAATTAGCAATATGTGCAACAGTTATATTGTCCCAACAAAATGGATAAATTGACCATTTTAATACATATTTAATAAAAATTATTAGAATAATCCAAAGTAATATAAAGGGTCTCCCATAAGAGGGATGTGGGACTTGCTCGAATGTCGACAAATATAGGGATTGCACTTTGGACGAAAATTAGTCATCGTAAAACCGTGTCAAATGTTCGTAGTTAAATTTACAAAATACAATCCCTGGACTTGCCGACATTTGACATGTGACACAATCTAGCAAGTCTTGCACCCCTCTCACGTGGAGCCAGTCTCACACCCCATACAAGACTCATTATAATATTTTAATAATATGTTTAAAAATTGTATTATTTCAATATTTTTTTCCTTTTTGCATTACGAGAGTTAATCAAAAAAATTGTAATTGCACAACTGCTAAATTATCAATCGTGTCACAAAGAGCTACAGGCGTACCTCCATTGTGTCATCACTCATCACATCACAACAGTAACTTTGGCACCAACGGGGATTGGCTCAAGTGGTAAGGTACTTGGGTTCGCTTCAGCAAGGACTCGAGTTCGAGACCTTGTGTATGCAGAAAATCCTCGCTGGGAGACTCACCTGCCAATGCTAGGTAACCTATCCGGGTCGGACTGGACATAGTCGGGGCGAAGCCCCGAAAACCAGTGGAGCAATCCAAAAAAAAAGTAACTTTGGCAAATAAAATAAAGGCTAAATTGTAATTTAACACCCCATACTTAGACCCCTCCCCCTCAAACTATGTCATTAATGCAATTAAGCATATCTGTTAAGAAAACATCTAATTCTGTTAACTCTCACGTCATGAAAAAATATTCCACCGAGTCCTTCTCTTCCTTTCCAAAAAACAGAAACTGTTCATGTTTCGATTGCTTCATCACCGTATCATTCCTTTTAGGGTTTGCTCAGCATCTAATTTTTCCTATAAAAGAAATCATTATTCTTCATTCTCTTCTTCCTTTTCTGTTTTGACTCCCAATGGTTCATGTTGGAGTGTGCCGCAATTAGCTAGGGAAATA